ATTTTAAAATTAATAAATTTTTATTTAATGTAAAATTAAAAAAAAAATAGGTTGAGGATGAAATTGAAAATAATTTTAGAAAAATGGGTGAAAATTTTAGTTCGGATGGTGTTTTTGAAAGAAAAATCAGAAATTGGAGTTCAAAACGCAATTAAAGAAATTGTGCCACGTAGGACCGCCTAATCAGCAGCCCCGACGAATGGGAGCGTGCTGTGTGGTAAGGCACGTTGACTCGGTGCCACGTGGGAGGTCATGCTGGCGATCCACGTGCCCCGCGATCGGATAACCCAGAAGCGTTCCCGCGTGCATGGACTGTCCGGATTCATTCCCTCATCAGGCGTGATCAGACGGTCGTGATTAGACGTGATGAACGGTCTAATTCGTTCTCTTTTTAAACGCAATCGTACAGTCGAGATCAAATCGTGATGAATGGTCCATATTTATTTCATTTTTAAATGCGATCGGATGGTCGAGATCAAACGCGATGAATGACCCAAATTAAAGCGAAGCGGGTATAAATATCTCATATCACACTGAACTAAAATTCTATCCGCCAGTCTCTCGCTGGAGAAGAAGAACTAGTCATCAGAAAAAGGAGCCGATGGCCACCTGCTGTTGTGCCTCCGACTGCCCAAAAAGGTAAAAATTCTCTTATCCGCTTGAAATTTGATTCTGAACACTTCTATGGCCAAATCAGAGTAACGGTGGATTAGCCAAAAATCGTGCAAAGCCTCGCGGTACTGCCGCGGGTAAAATTCGAAACTGCCTCAAATGAGCCCCTTTCTGTTTCCCGTTTTGTGCGATTTTTCCACCATTGTGTTCATCATTTTGTTTTCTACAGGTTGATCGAAGCAAAACGCCCAGCCGCTAAGGTGAGCCAGCGGAGCCGCCATACTGAAAAATTTCGTCGCCGTTAGGTTTTCATTTTTTGACTTTTTTCAACCAAACGAGGCCCCCTAACGTGTTTTCTCGCAGAAATGAGTATAAAATTGGCTAAAAACAGTCAGGCTGAGGCAAACCGCTACCGCAGACGGTAGTGCTGTCACTAGAGCATGGTAGTGCTGTCGTGCTAGAATTCTAAAATTGATCGAAAAAGGTTTTTAACACCGATTTTGAGTTTTTTGGGGTATTTTTAGGTATGTAAAACGTGTTTTAATCTCCGTAGAAAAATTCAGGGAAATCTGGAGACCGCTAGTAGCCGCAGTAGAAAGTTCGATATTTTGAACATTATTCATGTAAGAATCCCTCACCTTATTCTCTGTTATAGAATTGAATCTTAATAATTAATAATATAGTATTTTGTGTAATTTAGAAAACTTTGAGAATAATTACAGTTTACTAATGGAGTTGAAACTGGTTAGTCATTTATTTATTGTCTTATGTAACTGATTATTGAATTTATAACTTTAAATATATGATGATATACTGGAATGGTTGAATGATTCAGTTGTGCTTCCTTGATATATATATTGTTTGTCTTGCGTAATTTACGGTTGATTTGTGAAATTAGAAATTAATATGCAAACAGAAAATTGATTGATCACGTGAATTAATGAATAGTAGTCTTACTAGATATTTTAGGAGATGGTGGACGAATCATTTACATAGGGAACCATACTGTGAATATTGTCTCATACCGGATGAAGTATCGAGAAATAGTATTTTTGGCACTCATACCAGACGGGGTATGGAAACGACCCGATTCACCTACATACTGGACTAGGTATTGAGGGATGATATTTTTTACGCTCATACCGGACAGGGTATGAGGACGATCAATTAGTTGACAATGTTGAATATTGGTTCACGTGTAGTGATACATACTTATAGATCCCTAAGGATACTAGTAGGTAAATAAAAACAGAAAGTGGTTGTTATTGCTCACTTGAAAATGAAATTGGAATATTATTTGAATTATTGTATCTCTATCAATCGATTTTAGAAATCTCGCAACAGTAAATATATGCAATAAATGATTTTTTCCTTATAATAAATGAATTTACTTAAATCAAGAGTTTCATTAGTTGTTTTTATGATTTTTGCTAACTTTTAATTTCTGTGTTAGTGAGTAGTATGATATTCTTATTAGGATAGTGTAGCTCACCATTTCATTGACTATTTCATATCAAGAGGAACAAGATCCAAATTCCGATCAACAAAAGGGTTGTGAATAAGTTTACCACCCGGACTTCCTTCAAAAGTTAGTGAAGGTCGTCGTATAATGCTCAGCATATTGTCTTTTATTTATTTTTTTTTATCTTTGTTTGTTCTTTTAGATTGGTCATTCTCGTAACCCTATTAGGCATTTTAAATTATTGTATAAGGAATATAAACCCTAAACTCTATTATTTCGCTTTTGCACTTAATTTATGACTTTATTTCCTTTTAAGTTTCTGCTCTTTACAGTACTACTTGTTTTATAATAATTTCTGATGTTATTTGTGGTAGTCATTAAAAGTTTTTTTGTTTGAATAAAAACCTATTTTAAATATAATCTTAGTAACCTGGTAAATAAATATACTTTAAGCACCTTGGTACAAGATCTTTTCTAGTATATAACTTGCATACCCTTATGAGTCTCTTGCATCTTCATTATTAATATCCTAGGTAACTTTCTAATGAATTTTAATTATATTTACATGTGGTTTTGTTCATAAGTACTATAATAAATAAATTAGTTAAAAATTTATTTTATAAAATTTTAGTATTAAATGATATATTCAATGTCTATTATATGAAATGTATGATTATGATAAGATAGTATTTTTAATAAAAGCCAATTAATTGGTACTAGTTGTTAATAAAAGGTTGATATCTAGGTTAGGTAAGTTACGACATAAAACACATTTCCTAGACATTACCCATTTTAAGTACTCTTTAAATCTCATCTAAAATTGTGATGTTTACTCATGAATTAGTTTATAGTGGTGAATTTTATTAAAAATAAATTCTTTTAGATGATATGTTATTTCTTCACATTTGAAGAGTATTATATCTTTTTTCAACATGATATGAAATAAAATAATAACAAAAGAATAGTTTTAAACTAATGTAATAGTTCATAAAAATACATGAATTTTTATTTAAGATCCTGTTTGTTTGGTAGTAAATGATAGTCTATTAATATATGGTATTCCACATACGTGATAAAATCATATTTGTTTCAACTTCTAACCTGATAAAATGGTAGCAAATAGTAACCGACTGATATATTTGGGATGAATTTTAAAAAATATTGAATTGATATATAATTTTTTTTTTTCCGTTATACCTTCATAAAATATGCTTAATTCCTCGTTATACCTTTCTAAACAAACACCCTTATAAATATATGTTTAATAAATTAACTCATGATAAATGATTATTTCAAACACATTTTAATTTTTTAATTCTTAAAATAATTTTAGATTTAATATAATAATATATAATTACAACCACTTGTTTCTAATAGATAAATAATTTTATTTTTATTAAAATTAAATTAATATGATAATATAAATAATAATTATTTATTTTATCAAATATAAAATTTTAATTTAATTATGTGTAATAATTATTTAGTTAAATATAATATTAATTATATTTTTATATAATTTATTTTTTTCATTATATACTTCTTACATACTACTATTACATATAATAAGGTAATGATAAATTAGTAATTTGATTGAAAATACAATTATATCATTCCATCATTTAAATAAAACAACTGGCATTAACATACATCGATATACAATTATGCAAACATAAAAATATTTTGTAATTCTCATCCTATGTTATTATCATCAAAATCACTATCATTATCATATATTAATTATTTATCACTAAAGTTTATTTAAACAGAGCCTAGAAGATATAATTATTGATTAGAACAAATTTTAAATTTTATATTAAACTTTAGTTTTTCTCATTTCGGAACGTTACCCATTTTTTCGGATACACAAATAATAGAGAAATTATTGAGAAAATATTAAATTTTGATTGTTAATTTAAGTGATGTTATAGTATTTGAAAGGTAATTTATCATGATTTATTCCTTAAGGAAAATATTGAATTAGCCTTTACATCTATAAATTTACTTCCATTACTATATTTTTATGTCATCATATTATCAATTTGTCCACACGGAACATATGATTTCTTTCTCCCCTTTTTGTTTTTTTTTTATTTTTAATTAAACGGGAGACAGAGTGGTCAAATTCCATTTGTTGGTTGGGGGAGGGGGGGTTAAACAGAAAAAAAGAAAATTGCTGACTAGCAGGAGGATGCAACGACGTCGCATCACAACAACTAAATGTTTGAAGAGTCAAAACGTCAAACTACATATATAGGGAGTCAAATCATTGTAATGACACAATGAACGTTGGTTCATCAACTCATGGTGGACATTGGGTCCCACCTCTGTTAGCACGAGTAGAAAAAGAAACACTCTTTCTCCAATCTCATCATGCCGCATTATTTCATTTCCATACTAATTTTTACTATTAAACATCAATTATTATATATATAAATTTATTTCATTGAAGCAATCTTTGACTGACACGTGGCACATCTTCACAACACGTGTATTGATCTTAACCAAAAAGCACACGTGTACGCGGTGCTAACATTTTCAACTAAAAAACTACTCCTCGTACTCCGTTCGCTGGTGAGCGGCGCAATGCGCGCCGTTTCAGCACATGGAAAAGCATGCCGTTTTGCTTACTATGAAATTAATTAACTTAATTTGGTAAAAATAAACAACAACATTTATTTCCTCAATCAAATGATTAAATTAAATTAAAAAAAAAAAGGGAGTTGAAGGGACATTGGATGCTTTGTTGAAATTTTAGTGCGAGGCTGTCTTAATTCCGTGAGCCGTCAACACAGGCGATAATCTCAACACCAGAAGAAGAAGAGGAAAGGAGGAGGAGGAGCAACTGACAATCCCTCCCTCCTCGTTTTTTTTTTTTTCTCTCTTGCAGCATTTTCATTAAGACCGTCCCTTGACGAAGCGAACGAGGAGGGTTGTATTCTATTTTTTTTCTTCTTCTTCTTCTTCTTCTTTTATTTAATTTCTCCTTCTACCGTTAACTCAATTAATTAATTACTCTTAATTAATTAATTAATCTTAATTAATTAATTTAAGACGACAATCCCTTTTCCCTTCCTTTGCTCCTCTTTTGGGGCTTACTCAACATGAAGAAGCAGACTTTCTTCTTTATGGCCGCCAGCTCTCTTGCTCTTTAGAACCTAATCTTTCGCTCACTTTCTTCAATTATCAATTTATATAGGTCAGTTTTTCTTTTATTTGTGTTGCGAATTTTAACAGTTTATCGTTAATTGGGTCATCGTACCAACTTTTCTTCTCCTTTTCATCCTATTACAATCTTGTTAATTTTCCCTTCGTTGCTGGTTTTGCGTTCTTATTTTAACATGTGGAGTCCTGCTTTTTTATTTCATTATTTTGGGTGAATCACTTTTTTGGGTCATCTACCTCTTGTTTTGATTGGTGATATCTGTGTTTTTTTTTTCCTTGGAGACGGTTACTTATTGGAAATTTTATTTTTCAATTCTTTTCTAAGTGAACAAGTTCAATAGAGGCCAACTGAATGATGTAGCAGCTTAGAAAAGGAAAGAGGAAACGGTAATCTTCGAGTTGTTTGCCCAAAACTTAATTTTACTAGTTCATGAATTTTTTGTGGTTGTTGTCAGATCTTATTGTAGAAAGAAGATCAAATTCTCTGCTTTTTGAGTGATCGAAATTAATCAGACTCTTGTATTTTCTGCTTTCAAACCCAGAAATCATTGCCTCAGGCAAACGGGGATTATTGAATAATCACGTTGCTGATTACTTTGTGAAGGTTGGTCATGCTTATGGTTTTGCACAAGCTTGATGATGCCC